ATCTAATACAATCAGATCATATCTAATCGCTCCCTCTTCTCTCCTCCTCCAGCTCATTATGCAAAGGATTCTTGCTCGTACGAAAAATGCTCTGGCAATGAGATGCGTTGCTTTCTTGATTTATACAGTATTAGTTCACTGAGAGAAGAGGATTGTTGCTGGGCCATAAAGTTACGAGTAAAGAAGAATCTGGAAAGTTTATGAAAAATGCATTGAAGTCGAAATTGGGTACACATGGGTATTATTACATCGGGTGGTCAGCTTTTTAGCAGGTCAAGGCGAAGTGCAGCCACAAAAAACGCTCGCATCGGACGACGCGACCGCACATCTCCATTATGGTATGATCAGACCCAAATATCATGCTTTCCCTCTTTTTTTGGCAGTCGTCGACGTTTCTACTTAACCCAGTTTTCAGCTTGTTGCTCCGAAGCAGTGTGATTAATTCGTTGCACAAGGGAATTCATGATTACGACAATGACTGCGCCTTTAAAGGATTCGAACCCGGCATTTTCGGAGTCAAACCTGACCTCTGCCACTGCGTTATCACGCCTTGCCATGCATAAGTGTATAAGGGTATGACTTCAAAAACGATACATGTAGCACCTATCCGCGACGAATTTGGGCTACTTAAGCCAGCGAGTTACAGAAAGAATGACAAATATTTAGCGTGAATTCTAACGATAATGACTGCATCGTACATGGACAATAGCTTGATATATCGAGTAATCTCTGCAGTTTATTCGTTACTGTTTTTAGAGTTTTCTGACCAAAGTTAGGTTTATTTTGAACGTCGCGCTTGGATTCTGTATTGTCTGCTACAATAAGTTTCGATGTAGCTGATTAGTCTGGTTCATGTGTACCCTTTTAATTGGCTTCATACTTGACTTTACGCTAGACTTTTGACAAAAATTCTGCTGCTTTACAATGTTTTCGCTTGTTCAAGGTCTCCCTCAGTCAGAAGTCACGTTTGCAAAATGTCTGAAGGAAACGAACTTCTTAATATTTCTGGCAAAAGAGTATCGGGCGAGGCAATCAGGACGCAAAATGGTATGCACGTTTTCGTCTTTCATGTATGATGCTTAC